GTGTTCAGGACTTCCTGTTTTATATTTTCCCGCTCCAGTTCCGAGAGCATGTTGTTCCTCTCGAAATAAACTCTGGTTTGCCAGACGTTGCTCGTTAACATTCAGCTCTGAGTGAGATCGATTCCAGAGCTGGAGCATTTTCCTCCGGCACGCCCTGCAGAGCATTAATTAGGATTGCTTCGCTTTCGCTTTCTCTCAAGTTACCTTCTTCCCTTTTAGCTGACAGTTTTTGGGCATTCAACGTTTGCTAGACTGAATTTGATGCCTATTTTCCTTTTCATATTTGTCCACAAGGATAGGTGTCTGTTGCTGTTGGCTAGCCACGCACAGAGCTGGTTCACCAAGACAACCGACTACAAAAAGTAAGAAAATGGAATTTAAAAAGAGAAGAAAGAAAGGAAAGGAGCCTTTGGGATCTGAAAGAATAGCAGGATCCTCATTAGGGGCACGGTTGTAAAATGATTCTAATTTAACTTCAACGCGTTAAAATATGTTTAACTGGCATTCTGGGGTGAAATTTGAACAGTTGTACCCGTTATGAAAATAAAAAACATGTAATAAATTGTGTCAACCGTAATTTTGTCTTTTTTCAGATCCCCAATATTTAATTTTACATAAAGACAAGATAATATAATTATAAAGCTTTACAGGCTTGAAAAGGGATATGGAAGAAATAAATTGATAGCAGAATTTCCAGATAAAGGATTGGATAAATTACTTCGAAAAATTCATATTGGCGGAGTAGAAAGAACACCAGGTAGTGGGCGCCCTAAACGTGTAAGATCAGAAGATAACAATGAATAAAGTTTTTCGAGAATTCCGAGGCAAGAAAATGCGCCAGGTACCCAAGAGACTATTGCACGGATTTCAATAGCGACAAGAATATCAGAATTAGTGTAAGATGTATGGTCAAAAAAGATCTTCGACTTGGGCCTTTTAAACGTGTCCATGGACAAAGGCTTAGTACTGCTGATGAAGAAAAACAAGTAACTCGAGCGAACAGACTGCTGAGATGTATGACTGTTTTTTTTTTTACTTTCATGGTATCCTTAAATGAGTAAAGCTATGGGTTTCAAAGTTGCAACCAATAATGATTGTTTAACACACTTTAACCTGTTGAATTTAAATTAGAATCGTTTTACAACTATGGATTTTATAGCACATAGTATAGGGTCTCCTTTTTTATTGGCAGACCCTGTATAATCTCCCCTCGCGTTAACCCTTGGAACGCCAAGATCATTTGCATCCCGCGAAACGCCAAGATCGGGTCATTTTTGACCCATATATATTTCTCGTAACGAATGAGGTTTTTGTTCAGAATAGAAGCTACACATACCTTTTTAAGATATTTATGTATTTATTTCCCAAGTAGATACCAAAAAAAGAAACGATCCAACGGAACCTTGGAGGACTGGCCATCGGGTCATTTTGACCCGATCTTGGCGTTCCGAGGGTTAAAGCGTAGTATAATCGCCATGGTCATCAGAAACCTAAAGGGTAAGCAAGGCCTGACGATGCCTCTGAAGATCAAAGGGTGACAGTTTCCAAGCAGTCTTGCTTTAGCCATGATTATCAACAAGTGCCAAGGGCAAATATTTCAACGAATTTGTTTGTACCTTCCTTAGCCTGTATTTTTCCATGAACAGTTGAATTTAGCTTTTTCAAGAGTGTGGCACTTGCGAAACGTCAATGTGAAGATAGCCTCGATCCCGATAAAGCTGATACCCAGACAATGATGGCATCTATACATTGAATGTAGTATCCCGGTTTATAGGTTTATAGGTTTTGAATTGAAAATACCATACAATTTAAAAAGTCAATATCTGAGATTAATAAAAATGTTTCATGTTCTTTGCTGAAGATCGATAGACGAAATTTCTATAACTATTGTTCTATGGTGGAGTTCAAAACGATTTCATTTAGACCATATACCTAGTATTTCCTGTAAAATCTGGAAGTTGCTACATTGTAATCCCACGCAATTTGCGCAGGCTCTCCTAGTTATCCAAAAATACTATATTTTCCATTATTTTTTGCTAATAAAAATTGCTGGTTTTCTGGGTCCTTGCAGTGCAATATCAACTGGTCTCGAATGTGTTCAGCTCAGGAAGGGAACAGGTGATGCCCAAATGTTGACAATGCAACACTGGAAAACGTGACAAATCATATTTTCATCACAGTGTTTAAATTCAACATTGCTTCAGCATTGAATTCACCTTTCTACACACCGTTGTGGCAACATTGCTACGTTGAGAAATCAATCTTCTCTCAGCATTGCCCCAACGTGGTTTTTACGAATGTCACGCATTCCAATAACATCATACTGTGTCCTATGATAACGTTGCGACAGAAATCGCGTGTTTGTTGCGCATGTGCATGCCTGCCTGAGTGTGTCTTAGTTCTGGTCTTCTGGCTCCTTATGGATATGTAAGTACTGTTTAACCTGAATGTTCAGCTTTTTTCCTGAGGAAAATCATTCCCTTGTCATACAAAGTATCGGCAAAGAAACAGGTTGTGAAATGCCTATCGTTGATGATCGTAGGAGAAAGTGAATCATATTGATGTCGATGCTTCTCAACTGCTGAATGCCGAGGTCGAACGTACCCTCGTCCACAGAGCAAAATGAGACTAATTCCAAAAACGCATGAGCGTTTTTGGGCACTAATTGACAGCCCATGTAAACACGAGGTGTTTAGAAGGTGAATTTCGATTTTGATTCATTAGACAACTATTGTTGGAGAAAATATATTCCAATAAAAAAGAATTACCGTTAAACGCACTTGGGAACTAACACCCAGACCTAGCCCATGCCGAATGTCTTCTTTACCGCTGATCGTATTTGGAATCTGCCTCATTTGCTCTGCGTACGCGGGAACGTTCGGCCTCAGTAGTCGATACTTGAGAATGATCGACATCCTGTATGACTTCCAAGCGCGATTCGCTTTCTCTTACGATCATCGTCGCAAGGGTATTTTCTACTTGTTTCCCTGTCGACGTTTTTGTGGCATGATGTGGAATTATTTTCCTCGGGAAAAAAAATAAAAATATTCAGGTAAAAAGTACTTATATATCCATAAGGGTCAAGGGGGACAAAACTAAGACGCACTCAGGTGGACATGAACATGTTCAAAATAAACGCAATTTCAGTCGAAAAAATATCCTGTCACAATATTCTATCATTGGAAAACATTCCGATTCGATACAGCAATGTCGGGTCAGCGTTGAGCGAGGACTCATTCTTCAAAGTAGCAATGTTGCCACTACGGTGTGTAAAAGGTGGATAAAATATTGCTGAAATACCGAAATGAAAGTGTTCTGTGGTGAAAATACCATCATGTGTCAAGTTTTGTCAGCGTTGAACTGTCACCGTGTCAACCCTCTGCCTTTTCCCGAGCCTGAACACCTGCTAATATTTATTAGAGCTTCAAAGCACTCTAATGAGAGCAACTATACCAAGGCGGTGTCCTTCAGAATATGTTTTTGATCTTTATAAGAACTCAACTTTAGTACTTGAATGACGCAACTCATTCCGTCCAGCATAGGAGTTACGTGTCTAGCATCACCTCCAGATCCATCGCTCATGCAAGAAGAGAACCAGACACACCCTCGCAGGTCGGTTAACACGCAATCATTCTCAAAAGATGAAACCCCGAGTCATTCAGCCTGGAAGCTAGGCAGGCAAATTCGGCATGTCTCCTGACTCATAGGCTTGAAGTATTGATACATGGAGTCTCCTTTTGCTGGGTTACCTCCTTCAAGGGGTCTATTTAGGAATTCCGAAGCAATCCCTCAAGTTGTACGTGGGAACATCTTGGGCACTGTATAAAAAGTACGGGGAACTGTATTTTTCAGACATCGGAGTGAGAATCCCTATCTAAGCAGTTAGACGCCATCTCGCGTCCATTGGTTAAACCCATTTCCCATCAAGATGATGTGGATAACTTCACGTTGAAAAAAACTTTGAGACTATGACGAAGGCGAACGTGAATAACGAATTTGCACATGAAAGCTTCCAAACAACTTCGCTAATCCATGAGTAGCTTTAAAATGCAGAAAATTCGGTGCAATATGAATATTTGGCATTTCATTCCTGCTGATTCCTCGCTCCGACGATGTCTCAATATTTCAACCTTTTGTCATTGTTGTGCCAACGTTGGTTTTGCCGAATGGGTAGAATATGGGTAGAATGGATATCCTTGACACACAGTCCTAAAACGAATCAGTGAAGTAGTTGTAATCCAAGCATAACATTCAGACAAATCTGGTCGAATATGTCATCATGGGATCTTCTCTCTTTTTTTGTTCCCGAGGAGTAAGTCAGCAAAACTGCTGAAGGAAATATCTGCCAATGCCGATAGTAGATGTGATAATAGACTCGTGGGTGAGAGTACTTCTCAAAACAACGGTGAACAAATGTGATCTTCAATGTGAATAAGAGAGCAGAAAATTGGTACCGTTTGGTACTCTAGTAGTAGTTGTCTAGACTGTATAGATTTGGCGCCTTTGGTCAAGCTTCTTCTGATTGACCACAGCAGAATTAAATGTCGACATTTGTGCAATTTAAAAAACGAATTTCAACTGAGGAGATCAAAAGCACTCAAATAATATATCACACAGGAATTGGGACCCAAAATCGATGATAGGTCATCCAGGTCCGGTCAAATGTCACTTCAGAAAAAATAACTAAAAAATGAGTTCGCACACCGACAAAAATTTGGAAGACAGGTGAGCTATCGATGATGAAAATCGGCGTAATGACCAAAGGTTTTAATGCTAAAATAAAAATAGCAGTATGCTAACGTAATTGTGCAGGAATTCGGGGTGCCAAAGTTTCAGTCCTCTTTTGGAAGAAATCTCCTGAACTTGCACTTTCCAGTTTTTAAGATCCAATCTAAAATTTTCGGAATTATATTCATTTTTATACAAACAATATAAAAAAATCAAGCAGTTCAATACATCCTATTATTTTTCTCTTAGGGAAAAGCACATTGATAAATGCAATGGCGAACTACCTATACGGCGTGGTGTGGAACGACAAATTCCGATTCAAGATCATCATAGAGGAGACAGAGCAAGATCAGGCTCAGAGCCAGACAAAAGAGGTCACAGCATATACTTTCTACTGGCAAGAAGGTTTCGCGTTTGATTATACGTTCACACTCATCGACACATCGGGATTCGGGGGAACATCTGGAATCATGGCAGACAAAGAAATCCGATGCAAGATGGAGGCATTCTTTAGCAGAAGAGGCCCTGGTAGCATTGAGAAATTGGACGGAATCGGATTCGTTATCCAGGCTTCAGAAACTCGGCTCACGCCTACTCAGAGATACATATTTGACTCCATCCAGACACTTTTTGGGAAGGACGTCGAGCCCATTTTCCGGTTGATGATGACTTTTGCCGACGGCCAACCGCCAAAGGCTTTGGATGCAGCAAAGGCTGCAAATATCCCTCACTCGTCGATTTACAAATTCAACAACTCGACTGTATTTCCTGTAAGACACGAAGGAGAAGATGATGATGATTTCAATGAGCTATTCTGGAAGATGGGAATGAAGAGCTTCAATAAGTTTTTCATCAGTCTTGCTTCGACCCACCCAGTGGCTCTGCAAATGACAAAGGAAGTCCTAGAAAAGAGACGAAAATTGGAAACATTCATCAATGGTCTTCAACCCCAAATAACTGCTGGTAGGTTCTTCCTCCTGCCGATATGTGGCCGTTGGTATTTTTTCTCTTTATTAATTGAATGAACGAATCCAATGTCGAACATTGACAATTATATGATAAGCATGATAATATTACAATCTTGCTATGGGTGTCAATAAACGAAGACTGCCCCTTTAGATTATTGCTGTATTCTTATGATCAATGCTTCGTTTTTGTTTCGAGACTGATTATGAATGAGGGAAGAAAGGTTAGCAGTTCAAAAGTGCCATTGCTCTTCTTTTCAAGGCTTGGCAAAGCTGGAGGCGCTACAGCAAGAAAGGAAAGTTTTGGTGGAACACAAAGTTGAAATAGACGCTAACAAGAACTTCACGTACAAGATCAAAGAGACGAAGCAGAAAACTGTCGTATTTGATAAAGGTGTATATGCGATCTACTGCTTCGAATGCAAATACACTTGTCACTTCCCGTGTGACATCTCCGATAATGAAAGGATTAGTAGTTGCGGCTCTATGGAGTTCTGTTGGTTTGGGCCAAACACTTGCCGTGTCTGCCCCAAGAGATGCGAATGGACGAAACATTCCAGTAACAAATCCCAAGATGAGCTCTATGAGGTGTCAGTGGAAAAAACTTCAGAGCATCTAAAAAAGCGATACGAGGATGGGATGAAGGGGGAAATGTCAGCCAAGACTATCATTGAGAAGCTACAGAAGGAATATGATTATGAGCGGGAGCAGGTTTCAAGTATGATCCGCGAGGCTCATTCATGTAAAAAGAAGTTGGACGAGATAGCATTGAAACCAGACCCTTTGTCGGCTTTGGACTACATCGACCTCCTCATTCAGTCAGAAATACAGCGAAAACAGCCAAGGTACCTATAGAGAGTGAGAATGCTAAATGAAGAAAGGAATAATATGATGCTCTTCCGAAATATCAGCGAGGGTGACGACCCCTTGAAAGAGAAGTGATGACATCCCGAAATCTCCGAAAATGGGGTGGTTTCCTTTTGGAGAAACTAACTTCAGGATTGCTTCCATGATCATGGCCCTTTTCTGTAGTATTCATCAGATGAATATCATTAAGAAAATAATTTTCACGAAATAAAAACATCTACACTTACTGTTGATATTTTTTTTTTAAATTCCATCACGCACATGGTGGAGGGGGGAACTAGGCAGTAATCATGTTTTCCTCAGCAAAATAGAATGAATTTATAAGAACATACTTTAAATAGGATTTGCCTCTTTGAAAAACGTATTTATTGAAAGCCGAAATTTGATACTGAAGTGCTTCTCTCGATGCTCATATAATGTAATTTTTAAATTGAAGTTTACCTGAAGACCTTTTTTCTTTAGGGGATTTTCTACAAAATACATTTTCGCTGCAAACAGCTTGAAAGAGTATAAATAGATAATTGATATTTGGTAATCCTACAGTTCTTGAAATACTTAATTTAGGAAATTGTCTATTTTTAAGGTACATCCCCTCAACGAAATTATTTTTTAACACAGATATTCCCCAAAAGTTTCGCTAGGTAAGCTTACCAATAATAGAATATTGCCACATGGGATATCGTTGCGACTGAAACTGCGTGTATGTTCTTGCCTGAGACTGCCTGACAGCGTTTTAGTTCTCTCCCTCTGGGCCCTTACGGGCATATAAACAACTTGTCGAAGCCCGGATCCTCCGAGTCTAACCTGCACACGCAGGCTACCGTAGACGCAAAATATCCTGTACATCCAGCTACCACACGGGCTACCCTGTCCACGATCTGCCCTGTACACTGGTGTTTGGTGTAACAGAGGTTCCCACCAACAACTCCTGTGGGTCGCATACGCGGATAGAACACTTTATATCACTTCTTTGTACACGGGATTTCGTGCGAACACTTTTTTTGGATCTGGGCATGAGTTGACCCTGGTTATCCGTAGTAAGAATCTTGACTTTGACATCGGTCTTAGAGCGAGCTCTTGAAAACGCAACGTAAAGTTGACCTTGTGTGAACACAGGTCTGGCCTGATAAATCCCAACTTAGGCAAAAGCTTGACATTGCGATTTATTGATGGTTATGGCAAATGCCAAACGGAGCGGAAATTGCCTTCGCCGTATGGTGAAAGGCATATCTGGATCGGAAGGAGCGAGCTCGATTCGGGGTAGAAACACACTGTCCTCGAGCTGAGCCCGTAAAGACTTCAGCATATATCACGTTCGGTTTTAGCGCAGTGAATATGAGTCGAGTGCCATTGCAAAGACCTCGTCTTGTGTTTAGGTTTCTCAACAACATAAAAATTGCCCCCACTTTAAGCTTGAGCTTACGGGGAGGCATTCCCGATGGAAGTAGAGAATTGAGATACTCTACAAGAAGTTAACTCTTTCCTGTTCATCTTCGCAGTCGATTGTGTCCGCACTGACATACGTCTGACCCTCCAAACGGCCTAATACTTCGTCGCTCATTTTGATGGTGTCTTCATTTTTGGAGCACAGAATGGCCCTGTCGGCATATCCGAGTACATTATCAATGGTGATTTCTTTACCAAAGGTGTCTTCCACCAAGGATCCCTGACACATGTGTTCATGCGGAATCTCGATGATATCTTCACCGAATTTGTGGTGGGCAGCGTGCCATCGCCGACGTGAACGAGCCAATCGGCGAATTCATTCTCCTCTGGGAGAATCCGCATGTCGGTGGAAAGCTTCAGTTTGAAATGCAGTCATTTGTGGCTTGATATATCCAAACTGGATTGGACAATCGACACTCTGTGACCATGCTTCAAAACTGGCAAGGTTTGGCGGAAGTCTCCATCAAGAAGAAGGACTTTGCCGCCAAAGGGACGATCGTTCCCCATTAATTCTTTAAGCAGTCGATCAACCGCATCGATTGCATGCGCGGTGTCATGGAAGCCTCTTCCCAGATGGTGAGCTTGACGCTCCGGAAGAATTGGGCCTCAGCTGAACATCCTCTCATACTTGAAGATTCTAGCAAATGAACCGGAAGTTTGAAACCAGAGTTTCGTCCACCTTTCAAAAGGTTTATCTGCAATGCCAGTGGAAACACATCGTGTCCACGGCCTCGTAATACAAACATTAATGTTTTCTACAAAAATGTCTTCCTGCTTCCACCTGGATAGTCCAAGTAGAAGGACCTTTTTGGAAGACCTTCGTCTTTAATCGCTGCCATGGTGCTAACATAAACTTAGCGTTACAGAGGATTCAGCTGGGAGAGGAGGCGCTGCCCCTCTTCCTTTTCGAATTCTTGATGGAATATTTCGGATGGTGCAGGCAGATTTTGACCCTGAGATGGCAGTCCAAGTTCGTCGCATGATTTCCCGCGGAGAAGCAATGTGTTTTTGATGTCTTGCAGAGCTAGATATGCGGTCATTTCAAGGCTGTAGTTGCGAAGAAAGTCCTCGATCATGTGCTCTTTGCGGTTGCCCCACAAGATCTCAGCATTTTCCGGAGGGGAACCAGAGATACATATGAATGCAAACTGGCGTAGCTGACTTGGCATTTGCCAAAGCTCAGCTTCAGTGAGAGCTTCATCCCATTCTGCATCATCCTGCAGCAAGTGGAAAGCACTTGCTGCTTCTCGGTAGGTGTCATACTGATGACCGTCGACAGTTCGCAAATTTTGGTAGTTGGTAGCTCCGCGGACATTTAGCAGCAGAAGACGCAGAAAATATATTTCGCTTTTGGGTGGGACTAACAGAATACATTCTGTTGATGACTCCGGTATCTCTTTCGCGATCGCGCCACACCTTGTCCTTAGAATTGAAGATATAATGATAAGGGAATTCAGTATACAAATACTGGTTAGCCCTGACGTCCCTACCATTCAGTTTGAACCGATCAGTAAGGGTAGTGCCTCTGATGACTTCTCTTTCGGCCGCTTCCTTTTTAAACCCTTCTTGAGTTTACAGACTGTTCATTTTCCAAGTGTACAGCCAACCGTACTATTGGATGAGACTGCTCATGCATATGAAATCCGTAGTCTCCAAATGCTTTCTAGGGCGCTTACTTAGTGGGAATCCACGAATGACTTGATTTCGTCACGAATCAATACATTTTTGTCTGTTGAATTCTACGTTGGCACAATCGTGCCCTTTGTAGACATATTTAAAGAGATACTTAACCCTTTTTACGGCGGCGCAGATTTTCACGTCGATGTGGCAGTTGTACTTGAGAGATAAAATGGGTTGTAAGGCGCGACCCAGGCATTGTTGATGGGAACATACTGGATTCGATAAGATTTCCCATCGTCGCGTCATTTGTACTGAGGATACCCGTCGACTTTCTCTCGAGTTTCTAGCACGAAAGGTTTCGGAAAGCTCTTGGAGCATTTCCCGTCGACCATACAAGGAGGCCCAGGATCCAAATTGCCACATGGCCCATGAATCATATTCCGCATGACTACTGCGTGAAGTCGAGGATCGGTTTCAGGATCTGGGATTTCCACAGCCACAATCTTGTCGATGAGATCCCTCGATCGAGATACTCTTCCTCCAATTCCACTTCACGCATCATCTTAAACGCATGGGCGTATGGATCGATCTCCCTCGTGAGAAGATCTAAATTCTCCATAACAGTACGGTTGCAACCGTCGTTATGGGTTATGGTCATTCTTTGATGGAGGTCCTCGTTCGCATCCTAAATGTAAATTTGTACAAACTTGCTAACACCAACTTCAGGATGAAGTGGCGCAGTGCAGTGGTATATTTGGCCATGAATGCGAAAAAAAATACGGGCCATATCCAGTTGGTGGACGCACTCGAGCACCCATTGACGCAAAAGCAAAAGCACTGTTGAATTTCCGGATGTTCTCGTGGAAGTTATCCGAATTCGTAGCGTTTCCAGTCATCAAGTTCTTTAGGTACTCTGGAAACTCTTTCATCTTCAAAAGGTTCACCTTGCCTTTTTGGCAACAAACCGCAAATTGACCATCGCCTGCCTTTTCGCGGGCAAAATTCTAAGAGTGACAGTTGTCGCAAAGAAGATCCAACTTCCCAAGATAATCTTCTTCATCTTGTGATTCATCAATCGAGTTAGAAACGGCCACATTTCGTGTGCGATTATCTCGCGCAAGCATTCGCTGTCGAGCGGCATTCTCTGCTCACGACGCGTTTCAGCTGTCATGGCAGCTCAGGAAGCTGAATGCGCTGCCGTATATGTCGACTTACGTTCGGACCGTTCACCGTCAGTTTCGCTGCGTGTAACTTCTGCCATTTTTTTCAGCGTCTTTTAGCCTGCTGTTCGGCAGTCTCATTCGCGCAGACCATGGCCTTGCTTTCGGCGTTTGCATATCGTCTCTGAGTCTGCTGTTCCACAGTCTCCTCTGCACGCGCATCCCGTTGGCGTTTGGTCTTATTTGCGCGCTTCGCCTCACCAGGAACGGTTATTCTTCTTTTACGTGGCATGTTTATAACGTCACGATACCATTAAAAGGACAATGGATGCTCTCCTTAAAGGGACCAGAAACGGAATTTCGACCGATTGTGCATTGGCTACGGGCTTCCTTGTAGCCGAAGCCGTAGGCAAGAGAAAAAGGGACATGTCGTGCCACCTGCCTCGATGTGTAAGCGAAAAATTTTTATCACATTCCCTTGGCTGTCACCCTCTCATCGCATGACCGTGCACGAACCTTGTTTGCGGCAGTACGCGCTATTGACTCGATGACAAGCGCAAGAAAAACTGGAAAGCGCAAACTCTTTTGAAAATCTTATGTAGCATTGGGTATGGAACTCCTCCATGACCTGAAATCTAAAATGTCAAGACTCGGAGTGCACGGCTTGGCAGGAAAATGATTCCGAAATGTTGACCTATGACCTCTAATATCTCAAAGGAGGAAGGTCACAGAAAAATGAACATGACCGGGAAACCCCGGGGA